TGGCGCTTCACGTTTGAGTATTGGGGACAGGTTCAAGGCCAGTGTTAGTCCTGTTCTGGTGAGACTTTGTAGACATCTAAGCTCGTTTTGAATGAGTGATTGAAGCGTCGGACAAATTTTTGTATATCAGGTTCCAATAATTGATTATTTGATGTTAGAGAATGTATACCACTGGTATTCTATTCGTTCTTGGCTTTTGTAGCCACTTGCCATGTTATCCGATATATTCTGATCACGTAGGAATTAATAGAGAGTGTTTCCTGCCTGAAGGCGACCCTCGTTTTATTTACAGAAGGAACCAAACTAATAGTGAATAGGTCTTTATTTAGATTGCGTGGCAATCACAATGGAGTGTGGAACTACCTGTTCAAATACACTATTTGATCGAGGTGTTCAACCGACCCCTTGGCGCACACGTTCCATAGCGCTACATTCCTCAATCTGGTAGCTCATCCTTATAGGCCTGTTATTTTCACAAGTGATTCTATATGCTTATAATTCCTAATTTATCTGCTAGGACATAGAAACCACGTCATTTGTTGTGTTTGGTGGGATTGGGTAGTTGTTGTTGAAAAATAGTTAGCAACGTACTGTTAAAGCCGTACTTTGCTTTATGTTTTATTATCTACCATATTCAGTAGGATACTTTGTTACTATCCCATTAACAAAACTATTTTGTCTCACAAATCAATACATGCGGCAGATGATTACTTGCGAAACGTAACTGATAGCAATAGTGGGTTATTAAAAGTTTTTATTGATTGGTTGGGGAGTATCATGTAACAGGTTAGATTTCATCTACATTATTTGCGGTAATTTAAGTGTTAACACACTGGAAATGTGAAACCCTCAATTTTCGTTTGATATCTTGATTCGTATTCTACCTTTTAATGTAAGGTTCTTGCTAACTAATGGTGCTAGATAGTAAATGCTTTCAAATAATCTTATAAAAGGTTGGACTGTCAATAACACTAATAATTTCACTCCAGAGAATTTTTATTTTTAGGAAGGCCCTTAACAGCAAAACATACTTATCGGAATACAAATATATTCGGATACAAGTTTACATTTTTAGGTAGAGATTGAAATAGTAACACCTCTTAGTATAACTGTAAAGTGTCTATCGATGTTTGTGCTGTATCTCAGAAACCTTCGTTCAAAATTTAAAATTGGTGTTGGTGGTTTATTCCCAATATGTCTATTCGAAATTTTTGTTCTCTGTCCTCATGCCTGAAGAGCATGTGACATTGCGTTCCAGGCTCGCACTAAGTATCAGGGCGTAAAAAAGTTAAAATTAATTCCTTTCTAACATTTTTGGTGCTTTTAACTTACAAGGTTCATGATCCGACTTATCTGCTCAACCAATGATATTGTTAAATTTATCGTCACAAGCAGTGACATTCATTCATTATATTTTTTACAAAAACAATGATTTATCCATTAGTGATTCTGTAGGAACTGAGGATTTTATTACTTATCAAAATGCTGACACTTTGTAACCAAATAATCATTCCTTACAAATCCGTGCTCATCAATTATTAATAAACAATGGCTAACCAGCAAAAAATGATCTTTACCTGATAAACTATCCACTTTTACACACAAATTATTCGACATACAAATAAATAGCAGTAGTTTTATTACCAAAATAGATTATGATCACTCATCCGTCAGTTAACTAACTTCCCCTCTTAAGACCTATTTCTGGTCCGTTTATCTGATGTAAAATTAACGTACATTTAACTGTATTTGCTAAGTTTATGTACGAATATTTTTTCCTAAGTTTTCAGATCACGGTTACTAAATGGCGTGAAAAGAACTATGGACGCTATTGTTGTTTTGTGTCACTTCTGTGAACAGCATGGTCCATCAGTAATAATGTGTACCCAGTCATTTAAACAATCACAATCAAATTTATCTGTAAATGTACCCGATGTTACTACTGCCACCGCTAATAATAGTAACAAAGATGTAAACACATATCCAAGGAAATTATCTAATCATGCTCTACAAAGTAGCGATGATGCAATTTTTACTGGGATAGATGCTCCACCTATCCCTTTACCATCTTCATGTATGTGGTTTTGTTGTTTATGTGTTTTTGTGTTTTTCTGCCTGTAATGAAAGGTTTTAAATCCGATATAATTAGTTTGCCACTTCAGGTTGAAGAGTATTAATAAGTTTAAAGACAATTTTTCATATGATTACTTGTTTATTTACTAGTGATTTACCATTTTAGTCAATCTCGTCAGTCATGTGCGTGTCTAATCACCGATTACCTGGACATTCAATGCTTCCTGAGATGGGAATAAGTTCAAAGAGAAGTAGGAGTGGGCGAACTAAGACGTAGTAACAGTCCATGAATTCATTGGCTGCTGAACTGATTTTTATGAGTAGATCCAGACTATCTGGTTGGGGTCTGCACGATGTGGTTTCAGATATTTTATTATTTATTTATTTATTTTAACACATAGGTATTGGTACAGGGAGGCACCAAATACATATGCGCCACGCGAATCTCAATTGATTTGTGTGAGGGCTGTGATACTGCCCGGGTGCCCAAACCGAAGCAGGTGGTTTTCTTAGGAGGCCACACCCCGAGCCTTTGACCTGAACGTCTGACCCACAAGGCAGTGGAGCATCGTAAGGAGATGCAATCCCATGGTAGCCGGTGACCAACGATTGGTTCATACGCCATTTGATCCTTCAGGATACTGGAGCCCATGTGCACCATTGGTTTGGGATCCGGTTAAAGTGCCGGAAATTCGCTTTTCGTCTTCTCGTTTTCGTAAACAACAGTAATGCCACGAGAAGGCAGTGAGTAGGACTTCCCTGGTAGGGGCCATGGGAGAGATTTCGACAGGGATAACGGACTCTCCCCACTCGGCCGTACCAGAGCATTTGGAAGCAAGTTTCTAAAGAGACTAATGTCATGGAATGAGGGAAAGTAGAAAATTATACTTAAGTCAATACTTAACAGATTATGGAAACTAAATGCAACTGCGCTACTGACCAGTTCCGAATCATATCGCACCGTTGGTGGTTATGATTGTGTAAAACATATTCTTATAACTTTGGTCGTTAAATGTTTATAGTCATCAGCAAAATTGCTCTTTCTACCGAGCAGCTTATTGTGGTAGACCTCGGGATTACTCACTGATGGTCCAGCTATTAGGACAGTGCATCGAAGGTGCCTGTGATCAAATACTTACAACTTGTGTCTTCTACTTTCATACCCATACAGTAAGACAGTGGTAGTTATTTCTCGTCTAAAGTATTTTTATTCTTCTTGATAACCGACCGTAGCTGCTACCTTGACGTGGTGGTCGGGCTTGCCTATCGTGATGACCCAACCGAGCTATATTGGCTGGAACATATGTTCCTGCAGGTTCTACCATGCCAGGTAGGTCGATTGGAGAACGGTAAGACTAAAAGCAGCAACTGAAGGTCTGCGGGGCGAAGTCGTACTGCTGACTGTACAGAGGTGCGACAGCAGTAAGGTGTTTCCATCGGACAACCAGCATCTGTAGCGATGCTGCCTTCTCACAAGGAATGAAGGGGTTAGAAAAGGTTAACCCTAAAAATGTCACACCTCACCTTACCCCACGGATTTCCGTCTCCGGCGGTAAGGCCGTTTGAAGAACGGAGCTAACACATTAAAAACCTCCCATGGAAAGGCCGTGCGCGACCGGCCTCAAGCGATTGTCCCTTGGGCTCTGCGGTCACGCACCCAAGTCGTTGCCCCCAAATACCCTGGTACGGCCGAGAGTGGGGAGAGTCCGCTCTCCCTCTCGAAATGCTCTCACATGGCCACGCGTATATAGCCCCTGCCAGGGAAGTCCTACTCACTGCCTTCTCGTGGCATTACTGTTGTTTACGAAAACGAGAAGACGAAAAGCGAATTTCCGGCACTTTAACCGGATCCCAAACCAATGGTGCACATGGGCTCCAGTATCCTGAAGGATCAAATGGCGTATGAACCAATCGTTGGTCACTGGCTGCCATGGGATTGCATCTCCTTACGTTGCTTCACTGCCTTGTGGATCAGACGTTCAGGTCAAAGGCTCGGGTTGTGGCCCCCTAAGAAAACCACGTGTTTCGGTTTGGGCACCCGGGCAGTATCACAGCCCTCACACAAATCAATTGAGATTCGCGTGGCGCATATGTATTTGGTGCCTCCCTGTACCAATACCTATGTGTTAAAAAATAAATAAATAATAAATAAATACCCAGGTCGTTAAGACCAACACTAATCCGATTTTTTTCAGGTTCCTCAATAAATACCCTTCCACGGTGTGGGCAACCTGGAAGTGGTATCAGCCCTCATACCCGTAACAGCACACAAGACCAAGTTGGTCACATTTAAATCCTTCCTACACCTCCTAATAACTCTCTTATCTCCACGACTAACCCTTCTTACGTCCCTTTATCACCTCGCCCCACTAGTGCAAACGATTCGAGTACGCAGAATGTTATTCCTGGTCTCCTGAAACCACGCTCTAAACTACACGTAGGTGCTTTCAACGTCCGAACACTGTGCCGAATAGGACAACAGGCTTCCTTAGCTAAAACTTGAGAATCTCGCTCCATCGATGTGTGCTGCGTCTCCGAAACGCGCACACAGGATCCTAGTAGTGTAATTCATTTAACCGCACCATGTCAAAGTAACGAACCAACTCGATTTACACTTCGTGTATCTGGAAGCCCTGATGCTGCTTCCCGTGGCCTCGCTGGAGTAGGTATAGCATTGAGTCCTAGGGAAGAGCTAGCTCTCTTAGACTGGATCCCAGTAGACAGTCGTTTGTGCGCTGTCCGACTAAACGGAGCAGTAAGGACTCGAAAAGATAGTGACACTCGTCGTTGACTCTTCGTCGTCTCTGCCTACTCTCCCACTGACTGCAGCTCAGATGATGTAAAAGATGAGTTTTACAGAAAGCTTTCCAACCTTCTCCGAAAAGCTAGGCGTTCAGATGTAGTAATAGTGGCTGGGGACTTTAATGCTCAAGTAGGTAAACTAAGCGAAATGGAAAGACACCTGGGTGGATCTTATGGTGTCGCGGCCCAAAGAACAGATAATAGCGACCGTCTGTTGCAGCTATGCTCAGATAACCGCCTGTTTCTTGCAAACACTAACTTTCAGCATAAGGAAAAACATCTTTTGACATGGAGACCCCCTAGTTCGTCCCAACGCTGGACCCAAATAGATCACATCGCTATCAGCTACCGATGGAGGGGCTCGATAGAAGACTGTCGCTCATTTTGGTGCACATGCTTAGAGTCAGGTCATGCTCTGATGAGAGCGCGTATTTGTCTACGTTTTACTGGATGTAGGAAAGATGGTGCAGGGAAACCCCTTAGGTTCCTACCTAATGATAGCCAAGCTAAGAGTATATTTCAGGAACAACTAGAAAAACAGTTAGGCAGCCATGTAAGTGATGCCTATCCCGAGGCAGCGTGGAATGACATCTGGAAAGCTGTAGAAACAGCATTGATGTCTGCAAGTACGGTAAACCATAAGGTTAGGGAGAAACACTGGATCTCAGCAGCATCTACCGCACTGATAGATGCTCGAAAACTCATTCCATCTGGCTCTGAACATAACGATGAGCAGAGTCAGCTTAAGCGTAGGCTGACTAGGAGCTTACGCAATGATCGTGAACAGTGGTGGGTAGCGAAAGCAAGAGAGATGGAAAAGGCAGCGGCAATAGGTAACAGCAGGCAACTGTTCAGACTTGTTAAGGAAACCGGTATTAAGAACCCAACTGCTAGCAAAACAATCGCAGAGAAAGATGGACATATAATTCATTCTCAATCCAGGAGATTGGATCGATGGGCAGAACACTTTGGGGTCAGTTCAACTGGCCTTCAGCCACACTTCGGTTTCCCACGATCTCCAGTCGACCTGAATAGCAAGTTGATGTAAGTCCTCCGACTCTTTACGAAGTTGAAAAAGCTATAGGAAATCTGAAGCGTGGGAGAGCAGCAAGCCCTGACAGGTTTACCCCTGAGATTTTTAAGGATGGTGGTCCAGTATTAGCAGCGAGATTGATTGAGGTCTTAGATAGAATCTGGGAACTGGACGTAATCCCATCTGACTGGTCTCAACCACTGATTGTGCCAGTCTATAAGAAAGGACAAAAGTCTTCTTGTGACAATCATAGAGGAATTAGTTTGACTAATATAGTGTCTAAAATTTTAGCTTCAATAATACTTCAACGTCTAACCAAAGCTCGTGAAGAGCAGACTAGAGAAAACCAGGCTGGTTTTCGACCTGGACGTGGTTGTATGGATCAAATATTCACACTACGTCAGGTCCTAGAACATAGACACACATTCAGACGTCCCACAATGATAGTATTTCTCGACCTTAAGGCGGCATTTGACTCTGTTGATCGTGAGGTTCTATGGCAGTGTTTGTCACTGAAAGGAGTACTAAAGAAGTACATTAACCTTATAAAGACTCTCTACTCGAACACAACTGGTCGAGTGAGAGCTTATGGCGAACTGCCATCAGAACTGATTACCTCAAGTGGTGTTCGTCAGGGCTGTCCACTCTCTCCATTCTTGTTTAACTTTGCCGTTGACGTGCTTTTAGAAATAACACTTTCCTCATCTAAATTTCCAGGAGTTGAGCTTCTACCGGGAGATCCACTTGTTGACTTAGAATATGCCGATGACATAGTTCTATTTAGTGAAGACGCTGACAAAATGCAGAGTCTGCTGACCACTCTAAGCAACAATGCAGGCATGTTCGGGATGCGATTTTCTCCCTCGAGATGCAAAGTGTTGCTTCAGGATTGGGTTGCGTCGACACCCGAACTAGTGATAGGGAGTGAAGTAGTTGAGCGTGTCGACCGCTTCACTTATCTCGGAAGTCTCACCAGCCCCTGTGGTCTGGTGTGTGACGAAATCTCAGCACGAATACAGAAGGCTCGACTTGCTTTTGCCAACTTGCGTCATTTGTGCCGTAGGCGAGATATCCGTCTATAAACCAAAGGACGTGTTTACTGTACATCAGTTCGTTCCGTCCTATTTCATGGCAGTGAAACATGGCCGGTAAGAGTAGAGGATATTCGTAGGTTACTAGTTTTTGACCATAGGTGGTTGGGGACCGCGAGATGATAGCAACCGATGGTTAGAGACCTTGAATGACATGGCTCAAAATCTTTTGCAATGGCGCAGGTGCATCCACTCTCTGTGTTCTCTCAAACTCTAATCTTCTGTATTCTTCATGTCCTTTATTTTCTTTCCAAATCTATTCCACTGGACTATACTCCTTAAATAACATCATCAAACCCTAATGTTCCCTATCACTACTTATAATTTCAGGACCTCTACCACTATGGGATTTGAATCGATAACTGAATCTTTGTGCTAATGTGGTATGGCAACTCGAACTGATGTACGTACGTACGAAGTTCCACGTTGTTACTGACTGACTGATAACCATATCCCCTTAGTTGACTTTTTGTGCGTCGTTTACGCTCAATGAGCAATCGTATTCAACACAATATTGGATTAGAAGTGTTGTGGAGGCTGTCGAGCGATGTATTGCCAAACTATGAAGTCACTGACCGTCATATTAACTTGTGTCGGTGGATGCAGACATTCTGGTTGACGTCCGCTCAGTAATCATGCTCAATGGATAGTCACCCTAGGTAATGGCATGGCTGAAAACCTAGTTAGAATTGCATCGATAAATCTTGCGTTTTAATGTTACTTCACTTTTACGTTTGGTTGTCCACTAATGCTTTCATTTTTGCTGATCACCTAGCTGATATCAGTTCGTGTTGCGAATCACTTTCGAACCATCCAACTGTTCGTTACATATTTTTGTCTTTTCTGAACAATAGCATCGAGATTCTCAGTGATGTCATCAAACGTTACTCAACAGCAACAACAATCACATCCAGCTTGTAAAGCATGCTCATCTATCTTGTTACGTGATGAACTGGGAATAATTAGCTATGATCATTCTGCCAATCTTTCATATATTTCTACCCATTTTCCAAAAGACGCTGATTTAAGTACATATGTTCGAAATGCATGCCTGCGAAGTCTTTCTAGTGAGGTATTCATTCTGTGATTATCTTAATATGATGCTTTTTATCATATTTTATTGTTAATTACTGATTTTTTGTATATAGGAATTGACACTACTTATTAGCTTTAAGATTTAAACGATCTGTCCGTATGTTTCCATTATTTTCTTCTTTACGGTAACAATCCACATGGAATTAAGTAATCATGCAAATTTCTGTATACTAGGTTATAGGTATACACATGTGATTGTGCATTATACTTCTCTCTAGTTCAAAACTGATTTTTCTAATCAATTTTTCAAATGATTAAATTACAACAATACAGTATTCACTAGCATATAGCAACAAAATTTGTCATAATATGTCTTTGGCCTATGTAGTTTATCAAACGTTCTGAGTAAATGGATATCGGCTTAACTAAACAACTAAATATTAACACGGAAAATGAAACGGATCTTAAATAAAGGCGATAAGTATTATTCAAGATATGAGAATTAGTTCTTTTGTTGTCCATTGAATAGGAATTAATATGTACTTTAAAGATAAACAAATGACTTAGATATAAGACATCCTTTAGTTTGGAGTGTTTTATCATGAAGCTTTCGTTGTCTGTTTAGACTGCATCGTCACTGCAAACGTCAAAACAGTGGTTTGTGAGAATTTCAAGTCGGAAAAATTGTATATCTCATTCTAGATCCTAAGAAAACTCTTTTATATGTGGAAAAAATTCATATAGCTCATCGTTTTTGCGTATTGTCCTGGTCATGTTGCTTACAAAGTTATTGGAAGGTTTATGATTGGACTAATCTTAAGGGGCGCTGTGATGAGACGTCCACGTAATAGACAATTTAGGACTTTAACTGCCTAAACTATCAAAAACACACCTTAAACATGATCAAGTATGTCTCACTCAATACCACAGACGTACAAAAAACGCAGAATGATTATGACTGTAACAAAATGCATTTGCATCATAGTACCTCTTACATACGCGGTAAGGATGTTAAGCAGAGAGATTAATGTAAATATAATCTGACCAATTAGACTATCTCGGCCGCCATTTATCACTGAGAATTTTCCACGTACTACAAATCTACCAACACCAAAAATATTCATAAATATCATCTAGCTTTCCTTCAGAAGTTCTTACCAGTGGAGTAGTAGATTAAGTCCTGAATTGATCCAACCATGATCGTATCTCTAAATTCACAAGTAAACACACAAAAATTACAAGTCATTTGTAGGTTATAGACACTCCTTAGTTAAGAGTACACTGTGATTTCCTGGTCTTTTATTTCGTAAACTGGATAACTTTTTTTTGGGGGGGATAGATATTAATTGCCACTATGATACGAAGTGTAGCTTTACAATTTTTACCCGGCAACCGGTCTGATCTAAAAACGCTCAATGGGAAGTAGTTGGACAAGCGGTGGATTAGTTAGTGTTAACTTTAAACCTATCATTGTTTACTTCTTGATTTTGACTGTATCTTCCATTGATTTGATTTTTGATTCTATATTTGTTCATACTTTATCAACCAATCAGAAAAAAATTATGGAAAAATATAGGATCAAAAATCAAATCAATGGAAGATACAGTCAAAATAAAGAAGTAAACAATGATAGGTTATAAGTTAACAATAACCAATCAACACCGAGGTCTACAGAACACGTTATGAGCCGTATGTGGAGAAATTCGAACACTTCACTTCAACCTAAAGTTTGTGTTGATGATGTCATCCAGAAAGCTCCACGACTGAATCATCCAGTCTATAGAACAGAACTCCACCAAAATCATCCACCTGAGCTACAAATCTCCACTTGTTTTATTTCTAAGCCATAAGTTTTGGTATTGTTAGAATACCCAAAAATATAGTAGAGAAGAAGGTTGTCTAATCAATAAATACATAAATTATGTATGTTGTAAGCCACAAATTATTTAAGCACTCAACCAAGATACTTGCATGAAAAATACTATAGAAAATTGCAATGAAGTCTCCTTTGTCTTTGGTTCCGAATCATCTGAAGACTTGAACCGTTAGGTTGCATAATCTAAAAGACCCCAACAAAACTGTCGTCATGGACTGACAGATTCCGTGTTTACATAGCTACCCTTCATCCCTCGCTACCATGTCATAATCCGACCACCCTTTTTCACACAGTCTTAGCTTAAGCAGATAATTTTCAACCTATGAGCCATTAATAACAATTGTAAAATATATTCAGGCTTCTAAAGCTGAGGTTTGAAGTTGGTGACACCAATTGAATGTGTTCACCATGGTCAAATGTATGGCACTTTCAAATGTGTTATAAAGAAGTTTTGTTGAGTTTATATTTTAAAAAAGCTACAATTTTTACGTTTTATCATTACCTATAGTCGAACTCCCATTGTTCCATAATCAATAAATCTATCTGTTCAGTATTCGTTTTTAATAATTTTTGATATGTGAAACATTTTCGTCTTATAGTACTTACAGTACTATTTTAGTGAACAAGAACACCGGTGGGGACAATCGAATGTATTTAGGCACATAATTACAGAGCGTCTCAATAAAATCTGAGAACCATATATTAAATTGTTAATTTGCAAAATATCAATCCATCATATCAAACTTGACTGTTCCTGTTGTAAACATCAATCCATTGTCTCAAATTTCATTGTTCATTCGTTTTCATACCAATTACGTTTCGTTCCCACTCTTTCCTCATCGACCTACTAAAATACATTCTATGCCTGACCACCGTCATATACTACTTGTGTGGATATAAGTAACCCACACCACACTATCAATATTATAGCTTTGTATAATAATGTAATTTTTTGTAGGTTTGCCCAGGTCAAGTCGGTGCATTTTACTTTGGTGATGAAATAAATGGTCATGTTTTAAGTTATAATTTCCCTTTGAACGATTCACGTGCACGTGGTAATCAAAGTCGTTTCAGTATTTTGGTGTTATCATGGGATAAGATATACCTACTAAATTTATGGTCATTTTTGGTAAGCCCCATAGTTATTTTGTTTTTTAATGAATTTCCTCTTTCTAATGATCAAATTGTAATATTTAATAAGGTTGGATAGTGACTAGCATTAGAATCGAGAACATGCATTTCTCTCTATTTGGTACTCGTTATATGGATATACCTGAATCCCAATGTTGTTATTCATAGTGAGACTTAGACGCAGTGCATTTCGCTTCAAACCTCAATACGTTTTCCGCTGGGCTACTTACTAAGTCATTCATGTAACTATAATTGGCTAGTTAATTTGATTTTCTGACTTTTGATACTGTCCAATATCT